CGCGACAAAGCCATGCGTACACCGACACGGCGTGCAGCTGTGATTGCGTCTTTCAGTTTCGTTTGGGTTTCTTTTGGAACATCCTGCAAGTCAAGATCTACCCAGTCAACCTCTTCATACAAAGTTTCGAGGGTGTTTGATTGCATGGTGTATTCCCAATCCCCTTCTATGTCATCATTACAACAACAATCACATTGGTGCGCTGATGGCGTCGGCTCTGCTGGTTCGACACGATCGGACTCACTGCCGGCACTCTCAGGTTCACAGGGTGCTTGCTCGGATCGAAATGCAAAGATCGCAACCTGCATTGGGTTGACAGGTCTTCTGACCCGTCCGGCTGGACGAACGATCCATCCTGACATGAGCATGTTTCCATCTTTATCCATAGAGACTACATTCATATCAAGTGAAGTTCGTTCGGCTTCGGCAGGAATCCTTTCTAGTCTAGGTTTATATGCTACATAGGCATGCACCACCGGGTGTTCGGGACATGAAAACAATTGGGACAGCTCGGCACGAAAAACACTGCAATCGACGTTTCCTCGTTTGGTATGTTTACACACAGTTTGAAACGCCCTCCGAGTATCACACGGGGTTGGCTCCATTTTTGGTGCACTTAAAACACTGTTTTTGTTCGTGTCCTGTCCTCTGAGGTCTTGGTGGTGCTCGAGATCAACGGAGATGGACTGGCGGTCCATCGCTTGGGCTTCATGCGGATTGGGCTCATTTGTATTCGAGTCGTTGAGGACTGTCTCCCACTCAGCAACCTGTGGCACCAGAGACAACAGCAGATGGCCATTTGCGGCCTGTTTCAGGGGTACATCTTGCATACCATGTTTTGGACTCGTGATGGTCATTCGGCCCAAGTCCAGTGTGGCCTGCATACCCTCCAACACCCTTCGTGACAGCAGGAATGGCGCGCTTCCAGGAACAACATATGTCGTGATATTCCCTTTCAACGAACCCAGCTGTACTGTCCACTTCAAACCAACAGCTGTTGTTTCGCTCTGACCATTGAAGCCACGAAGCTCAACTGTAGGCATTGTGACACGCACGGATGGAGGAAAATTGCATTGTCTGAAAACCTGCTCATATCTCTGTGCTGTTTCCTCGCCAACAACGGATGTTGTACAACCAGTATCAATGATTGCAAAACCCGATGGAATTGAGGCCAGGAGAATTTCCAGTTCAGCAGCGGTGGACTCGGTCAGGGCATAATTGAACTCGGTCAATGTCCTGTCAACAATTTCCACAGCTTCTGTCAGGTTGGCGTCCTCACGCCTCGGTGGTTTCTTCTTTGGGTCCTTTTGTGGCGACTTCTTGTCAAAGGACCTTTTCTCATAGCGTGGTGTTTTGGACGATGCAGCCTGAGTTCCCAGTGGAGCCTGGGACTGGCCGCCTTCGGTGGGTGGAATGGCCACCACCGGCATGTATGGTTGTCGTGCTCTTTTGATTTCCCTCACCTTCTTCTTTGACTCCTTGTAGGTGCGAAACTGTTTCTTGAATTCTTTCTTTGCTTTCTTCTGAATCTCATAGATCTCCTGCAGCTCTTCCTCAGAACCTGAACCCAGAGATGTTTCGCCACCCTCAACTTGGTAGGCCTCTTCACCAGACCCGGAGTCAGAAAGTGGGTCTATGGAGGTGGATGAAGCTTCAGCAACTTGTTCAACAGCATAGGCTTCGCGTCGTGGTCTCACCTGTCGACGATCGTCCAGCCGTGGTCGCCGGTCATCCAATCTCTCCTCATAGTCACTAGCACGCAAAATCTTCTCAATGTCAACAAATCGACTGGAGCCGCCTGTTGAACGAATGATGTGGCTGCGTTGCTCACGCGACAAACCAAACTTTCTCATGAACAAGTGTCCCAAAACTGACTGTGGAAAAATCGGTTTTGGCTTTGTATGCGACTGCTCCAACGTTCCAAGAAGACGTTGCATACGGAGATGATCTTTTCGCTGGTCACCTTTCTGAGTCCCAGTGGACTTCCCCTGTGAAGCCTTTGAGCTCGACTTCGCACTTCGGACCGATGGAGTGGATCCGGTCCGACGATGAGGATCAAGGGGAGGATCAAAAGGACCTGGAGGAGGTGCTGCTCTGGCCTTGGCTTCTGGCCGGACTTCATCTCCAGCTTCTTGTTCAGTTTCATCAGTTTGTTCATTGGGATCGTCTGGAGGTAGGGCATGTTCGTCCGACTCTTCCAGACTACTCGAATCTTCCTTTTTCTTTTCTTCTTCGACTGCGGACTTCGGTTGCTTCTTCGACAGCTGACGCTCCTGTGAGATGAGCGTTTCCAGGCGATGCAGACTTGTCTTGAACCGGGAGGTGAAGGAAGTGGCTCCCTCATGTCCCTTCCGCTTCAACCCAAAAAGGAACTCATCTATGGCCTCGTGGAGCTCGGTCTCGGGCAAATAACGATAGTGCTGATCAAGCGTCCGAACAATTTGCAGCCAGCCTTGTTCACATCGAAGGTCAGCAATTGGAATGTTTTCGGTCGCTTTCCAAGCTTCGCCAGACAATCTTCCGAGGACTCGAGGACCGGCCAGGTGTTGTTGCTTGTCCTCAAGGGATGCAACACCAAGGATCAGCTTGCGTCTGAACTCACGATATCCGCTTGGCTTCCCATCGAAGTAGAGGTCTTTGAGAGTGTCTTTGTAGTCCATGGCTCAAACTGCCAACAACAAACAACAATGTTCCACAACCAACAATCAATGTCAATGCTCAACAATCAACGTCAACTCAACTTTGCACCACTGCACAAGCAATGTACCTAGATGGCACGAGCTGCTCTGCGGTTTGCACCGCACCCGGGATCAGGCCGGGACCTCACAAAGCAATCCTGGAGCTTGGCAGCTCCGCTACCATGTAAAATGGTGAGCGGAGGATCAACAGCAACTTGTAAAGGCAACTGTCACAACTCAACCAACGGGGATCAAAGAACTCCGTCACGATCAAAAGCAAGCGGTGCGCTCACTTTTCCATTGCGCAACCGTCGGGGGCTCGGATGAGCCAGACTCAAGGGCCCTTGTGCCAAAATGGTCACATGAGAGGGCCGCCATCTCATATCATGATATGCATGTTCCAATGCATACAAATTCACAGATATAGACTGAGGTGTTGATGTTGTTGGATGTCGCTGTATGCTGCCACTTGTTGACACAGATTCAACCCAGCCAAACTGACGTTGCCCTGTTTTTGTTTTTGAGCTGAGAAGGTGTGATTTTCTACTCGGGTGTGCGTTGTGGCAGTAGATGAGCTGGTCTGCCAGAGTGCAGCAGGTCGAGCCAGGCTCTGGGCTCAATCTCCGCTGCTCAATCGCGATTTTTGGTCAATTGGGATTGAGTCCTGGGACGAGGGCTCACCATGGCTCACCAGCCAGGTGCCACACAGGTTTCAAATCTTTCACCTCCTGCAAACTCATTCTGGACATAAGTTGACTGTTTTTGGCCCGTGTGCTATTTTACTTTTGCTTTCTGGTGTCAGGGTATGTCAGGCTCAGATATGGCCTGATGGCCTGGAATTCTAATGCCCACCAAGGTTCAACAGTGTATAAATAGACGTCACCAGTGGATGCTTCAATGGATAACATCTACTTTTGTGCAACATGTGCCAACTTTGCAAAGGCTTGCAGAACCACCGCAAGTGTATGCCGAAACATGTTGAAATGTGTTGAAATGCATAGAATTGCGTAGAGTAATATCCCGTTCATGAATGTTCATGATAGTTCATGTTTCATGATACTTCCTATGAAGCGTGTCTACATAGGATCATCACATTTGAAGACAAAAGTGGCATGATGTAGCCTGTACAAGGAAAAGAGGCTAATTTCAAAAGATGGTAAGATATACCAAGGTAAGGCATGGTAAGGCGTTAAGGCCAAGCGTGCATCTTCATACCCAAGAGCAACTGGACATTGCAGAAAAAGCGCACAGAAAGTTGCGGATGTGCGTGGATGCTTCATCGGCATGAACCATCATTAAACCACACTTCCATATGAAATTTGCTGAATCGTACGTACCCCCCCCCCCCGTCTAAAATGGCTAGCCATTTT